TGGGTCCTTGCGGACCTAGGCTAAACTGGAGGGGATCTCGGAGCAGCAGCGGGCCCCAGAGACGCGGCGTATAGGCCCACCGTCGTGTGGATATGCCCTGACGCCCGTCAACCCCTGCCCCAACTATGGGTAAATAGCCCCGCTGCCTTGTGGGTAAGCCTATTTAGGCAAAGGCTAAGGGAGCACACCCTGACAGAAAAACAATGCGCTGGCGGTGCGCTATAGGCGGGCCTTAAAAAAACAAGGACCCGGCAGCCTCCTGCAGCCAGGATGGGGGACTGGTCGTCTTGGGTCACCCACGCCACCGGGTTTATCTCATCGTGGTGAAGATAGTGCTACTGGGAAGTGCGCACCCCCTATGGCACTTAAAAACTTCCTTGCGCAGGTATCCAACTCTGACCATGGTGAAGTACCTGGACCTTACAGCGTGTTGAAGTCTGGTGGCGATGGGGTTCTGGCAACGGGAGCAGGTACGAATGAACTGGAAGCTCTTAGCTAAGAAGCCTGCACGGCAGCAGCACAGGGTATAGGTCGCTAACAGCTCGGACTGAGTGGAAGCTGTTTTCGGCAGACCCCTGTGCGTTGAGCAGCCCTATTTAGGGGCCACACTGCTCACCCCAATTGGGGAAGGGCCTAGAAAAGGTGGCCTAAAAATTGCCCACTCAACCCCGCCTGGATAGGATACCCCACCTATCGGGCCATTCCATTACCGCGGTCGAAATACAAATAAAAATTACGGACGGAAATCACGGAAATCATGCAACTTAAGACTGGCAACATGGAATGTAAGGACTCTCCTGGACTCGTATGGCAGCTCTGACAGACCTCATAGGAGAACAGCATTGGTTGCTGCTGAGCTGAGTCGCTACAACATCGACATTGCTGCTCTGAGTGAGACCAGAATCTTGGATGGAGGCTCTCTAACAGAGGAAGGGATGGGCTACACGTTCTTCTGGAAAGGTTACCCGTCAGGAGGACAACATCTGCATGGTGTAGGACTAGCCATCAAAAACACTCTACTACCAAGACTCGCTGAAACACCTGTTGGCATTAGTGAGAGACTAATGTCCCTCCGTATCCCCCTGGTTAAGAACCGCTTCGCCACACTTCTCAGTGCATATGCACCGACCCTGCCATCCGAGAGTGAGGCCAAGGACTCTTTCTACCAGTCACTGGACGAGGCTCTTCGCCGGATCCCCAAGAATGACAAGATTTTCTTGCTTGGTGATTTTAACGCCAGAGTGGGACAAAACAGCAGCATATGGAGTGGAGTGCTTGGCAGGCATGGAGTTGGCCAGGTTAATGCAAATGGATGAGATTAATCACTCTCTGCTCTGAGCATAATCTGACCATAACCAACACTATCTTCCAGCAGAAGGCTAAATACAAGACTTCGTGGATGCAGCCTCGTTCCAAACACTGGCACCTGATAGACTGTCATTGTGAGACGAAGTGACATCAGAGACGTTCACATCACCCGTGCCATGAGAGGTGCAGAATGCTGGACAGATCACCGTCTGATCATGGCCAAGGTCCACATGCAAGTGCACCCAGAAGGAGGCGACTAGATTGCACCCGCCTGGAAAACCCTGATGCAAGGAATGAATTCCGTTGCTCCCTGGCTGAGAAACTAGGGGGGATGGAGTTGTCCTTGAGCTCATCTGAGAACACCATGGACCAGAAGTGGAACTCTATCAGCTCGGCTCTCTATGAGTTAGCAGCCCAAACAATCGGCTATAAGAGCAAGAACCACCAAGACTGGTTTGATGAAAACTCGGAAACCATCCATGACTTGCTGAAGGACATGCACAGAGCACATCGGGCAATGTTAAAGAGCCCCTCGTCCAGTAGCACCAGGCAGCAATGGCATAGAATTCGTCGGGAAGTACAAAGGGCTACTCGGGTCATGCAGAATGAGTGGTGGACTAAAAAGGCACACGAAATCCAGTCTTTTGCCGAAAAAAATGACATGCACAACTTTTACAATGCTGTCAAGAAGATCTACGGCCCAATAAGCCGCTGTATCACTTCCCTGAAAACAGCAGATGGCCTGACAGTCCTGAAGGACTAGCATAGCATTCTGCTGAGATGGGCTGAACATTTGGGTACCCTGCTAAATCAGGACTCTGATGCAGACCCCACCGTCCTTGACGACCTGCCTACACTTCCTCCTATGCACAATCTAGACCAGCCCCCAACCTTCCTGGAGGTCCTATCAGCTATCAATTCCCTTAAAAACAACAAGTCCCCTGGTAATGACAACATCCCTGCTGAGCTATTGAAACAAGGAGGCTACCTCTGTACAAGAGCATTACACAAGTACATCACCGAGGTCTGGGCTGATGAGAACGTCCCACAACAATGGAGAGACGCCAATGTTGTCACCATTTACAAGAACAAGGGTGACAAGGCTGTCTGTGGCAACAGCAGGGATATCTCGCTCCTTGCTGTCGCCGGTAAGGTCCTGGCAAAGGTTATGCTCCAGAGGCTGATTTAAAAACACCACCGAGTCAATACTGCCTGAATCACAATGTGGATTTAGGAAGAGCAGGAGCACGGTGGACATGATTTTCACAGCTCGACAGCTGCAGGAAAAGTGCAGAGAACAGCATCAGGACCTGTTCATGGCCTTTGTCGATCTCTCCAAAGCCTTCGACACTGTCCAGAGAAAACTTTTATGGGAAGTCCTTATCAGGTTTGGCTGCCCCAAAAAGTTTGTCAACATCCTCCGCCAATTTCATGACGGAATGACTGCTCGGGTGACTATACTGTAGGAGGACAAGAGTCTTCCCCCTTCCCTGTACATACAGGGGTGAGGCAGGGGTGTGTATTAGCACCAGTACTTTTTAACATCTTCCTGCTATGTGTCACCCAGCTTCTCCACAAGGAGATTGAGGACAGTAGCGGTGTGGCAGTGGACTTTCGTCTAGATGGCAACCTCTTCAACATAAGGAGGCTCCAGGCAACCACCAAACTGCAAAGAGAGTCATTGAGCTGCAGTATGCAGACGACTGTGCTCTTGTATCTCACAGTCCACAAGACCTCCAGTCTGTTCTTACTGCTGCGGTGAGAGCGTACAGCAGGATGGGACTGACCGTCAACACCATCAAGACGGAAGTAGTTTGCCAGTGGAGTGCCAACATCCCATCTACACCACCTACATTCACTGCTGTCTGTTGTACCATCCTTCAGATACCTGGGGAGCATTCTCTCTGAAGACAACACCATTGACAATGAGGTCCAAAACAGGATAAAGCAGGCATCAGCTGCCTTTGGGAGACTCCGGCGTAGGGTCTTTCAAAACAAGAACCTCCATCTCCGCACGAAGGTATGTGTCTACCAAGCCATCTGCATCACTACCCTCCTTTACAGCTGCGAAGCCTGGGTAACTTACAGCCGCCACATCAGTGCCCTAGAGCAGTTCCACATACGCTGCCTTCAGCGCATCCTGGGAATTACCTTGCGTGATCGTGTGCCCCACTCTGAAGTACTCTCGAAGACCAACTGCAGGAGTATTGAGGCCACAATTACTCAGCACCAGCTACGATGGCTGGGCCATGTAGTAAGGATGCCCTCAAACCGCCTGCCTCGCAGAGTGCTATATGGCCAGCTACACCATGGTCGACGCCAGGGGCGTCGCCTGGACCTGGAAACATTCGGGGCTTAGCCCCCAGGGGCGGCGCTACAGTCAAATGTTCTACTGCAAGATTCCCCACACGCACATACACAATTGCGCCATCTGGTGTCACAAACGTGCGCCTGCATTAGCTTTGTTACGGCAATGGATTGTGGGAGATTCTCATAGCACGTGAGGATCTCTTGAGGGTAAGGTGCCTGTATTATCTCGGTGGACAAAATGTATGTTTTTATTTTATAAGGACAATAACGTACTGTTGTGTTTGTTTCGTTTAATGTTAATTGTTTAATGCTCACAGTCACAGCAACATGTTTTTTGTGTGATTGGCTATTTGTTTTATATGATTTATCAACGTGATCATCAATAGCTAATCTGAGCACCAGAACCCAGCTCACGAGTCCTTTTATGCTCTCCATTGAAATGCAGGTATGTGAGTTTTGTACACCAGTTTATTTATGTTTAATGTTTCACATTGCTCCACATGATGCCTTGACTACAAAGTCTTCCATGTTTCTTCGCTTCTTCCTCTGTGTCACAGTTTCGGGAATATCAAGATCATTACACAGGGCCTTGGTCTTGTCATAGACCTCATGTGCTTTCTCGTTACTTCGGTAACTTTTCAGTGTGTTCTCAACTGCTGTTTTGTAATCTACTGCCTGCACCAAGTCAATTGTTTCTTTCTGCAGGTATTTGTGCAGGCCCTGAGTGGTTGAGAGCAGTGTCTGGAACATGACAGCATGTAGATGGTACTGCATTTTCAAAGCTTGCTTTCCAGTCCCTTTGCTAGAGGGGCTGAAAGGCTCCCTAAAGTCTTGATCAAAGCAGGGAGGTTTTTGACATGCCCAGCGAACAAGTTGTTTGTCCCCTACCTCTAGCTGTTTCTGAAATGTTTGCAATCTCTGATGGTGGACAAGAGATGTGGAGAAGAAAGAGTAGAGACACTCCAGGAGATCAACGCAGGTATGTGAGTTTTGTACACCAGTTTGTATAAGTTTAATGTTTCACATTGCTTGCGAAAAATATACTACCACTATACGATCACTGATGTTTTGTTGTTGACTGGACACTTATTTTGTAAAAGAGATAGCATGAGAGGATCTCTTAAGCAATGCAGCTCACGTGTCCTTTTTATATGCTGTCCATTGAAATGCAGGAAAGTAATCACCAGCTCTGAGTGATCTGTTGCCGAGGGGACACTACACCGGAGTTACATAAGCAGAGATAAAGTGCTATTTTGGGGGGAACTCACCTCCTCTGGGGTCCCCCAGGAAGACTTTTTTTATTAACCACTGTAACCGGTCTGGTTTGACGCCACATGTGATCTCTGCGTTGTGTTATGTTGTGTAAATGAGAACGACTTATTTCTTGCCAACCAGGATTTATTCTCTGTGCAAAACAGAATATAATAATTAAAGCAGGAAATGGCTTCATCAGCTTTCTAACTTCACACTTCTCCTCAGTGGGGCCTGAAGCTAACTCAGGAAAGTATACAGAGTTCTAAATAATACAATTAACAGATATACATCTATCCATGGTGGCAAACCAGTTTTTCCTTGTAAACCAATATACACAAATATAACCATTAATTTACACTTACATAACAATACAATTTACAGTTACAAAATACAAAAAGAATACCCACATACCTGTGCAAAACAGAATATAATAATTAAAGCAGGAAATGGCTTCATCAGCTTTCTAACTTCACACCTTCAGTGGAAGAAAACACGCACATGTTAGGTTAGCATATAGCTAAACTTTAGAAAGCTCCCAAACACTGTTTGAAGCGCTGCACATTATATAAACTACAGTCACACACGGCAAAATATAGATATTAACTGCAAATAGGTTTGGCTTGTGTGAAGTGTAACATTAAACAATCTATTAACATATAAAATACAACATTTATGACACCACTCGTTCCACTTACTTCTCCTCAGTGGGGCCTGAAGCTAACTGATTAAGATTTTTTTTAAATACTGAAGTTAAAAGCATCAATCTTGTGCACTTTGAGAGCAACATTAAGAGATATGGATACATCTCTCAACACCCATATGTCAAAAAGAAATCAAAGAATCAGAATCAGAAACGGGTTTATTATTTAAAAACACTTCATTTTCCAATTAAATCATAAACTATGTCAAATTATTAGAAGTTGTTAGTAATCAGATTAAACAGAAAAAAGGGATGGAAGGAGGAAATAATAATCCCTCATCTCTTGCTGTTTGCGGTTGAAATGATCTCTTTTGCTGGCCAAACATGCTGGATGGAAAGCAGTGGTGTCTCACTTGCCTTGGCCCTGTATCTGCAGTCCCTAAATCAGTCATGTTACTCATTGACTCTTGTCTGTTCTGGTGTTCCTGTTCATTGTTGTCTCAATTGTCGTTCTTGTCTTTTGTATCTCCTTCTTGTGTGTCCCTTTCTCCTGTTCTCCTTTCTTCATCCTCTACTCTGTTTGGCTCATCTGTGATGACTGTGTAGGTAAACACAAACAAGTATGTATCAGTTTCCAGCTCTGTCAAATAAATGAATTTCAAGATACACACATTTGTCTTCATTCAAATGAGTGTCACCACACTGTCACAAAATGTAATACTGTAATACTGTCACAAAAAGAGGTTGCACATTTAAATTCAGGTGTTGTTATGGCAACGTCAGTGGCCAGACAGCCACATTTACTGCTGCAAATACGTTCAAACATGCTGTCGACACGTAAAGCAGTGGCAACTATGCCACCATTTCAGCTGACTTTTTCTCAGAAATACTGTCACATAACATCCATATATATTTCAGTGCTAGGTTGATGCTTAGCTAAGCTAACTATGAAACACTTTAACTGACAGGAATCAGGATCAACTGTGTACTACTGTAAGGTAGCTTCTAGCTTCATGTCGAACACAGACAGTAAGTCAACATTTCCCAGAGAGCTTTCTTTGAAATCACCAAGTAACGCTAAAAAATACAACATTTAGATTGTATGACAAAGTGTTTATTTAATATATCTGGCTAGCTATAGCTACTTGCTAACGGTTTAGCTTACCCGCGCGATTCAAAGTAACGTCAACGTAGCTATAATTTATGCTTTGCTTACATGTTCGCATAACTTGTAAGTTTACTGACAGGTACATACCTTGTTCACCTGGCTCAGGTGGTGGCTCTGGGGTTGTTGTGTGAGCCACCACTTGAGAATGGCCGTCTTTTTTATTAAAGAAATGTCTAATGTCCATCTTCAGAATCTCCGCATCCGGGGCTAAAGCCCCGGATGCCTACCCCAGGCGACGCCCATGGTCGACGCTCTGCTGGAGGGCATAAGAAACGCTATAAAGACCAGCTGAAGACTGTGTTAAAGAAATGTAAAATCAGACCTGAGGCCCTGGAGGACGCTGCTGCTGACCGTAATACCTGGCGCCAGCTGTGCTGGGATGGGACCCAAATGCCGGAGGAGGAAAGGACAGCCAGGAGACGAGATTCAGGAGGAACACGCCTACAGTTGCTACTACCACCACATACACTTGTCCTACCTGCAATAGGATCTGTGGGTCCAGGATAGGGCTATTCAGCCACCAAAGAACTCACCGATAGAAGTGGACGTCATCATCGGATTCGATGGACAACCATAAGCAAGCTGTGTGTGTGTGTGTGTGTGTGTGTGTGTGTGTGTGTGTGTGTGTGTGTGTGTGTGTGTGTATGTGGCCTAGCATTACTATACTTGTGGGGACCTACATCTGTTTACATAGTCACGTGTGGGGACTCGCCTCCCTTATGGGGACAAATTGGAGGTCCCCATGAGGGGAATCATTAATTTTAGGATGAAGACTTGGTTAGGTGTAGGGTTAGGCATGTGTTGGTTATGGTTAAGGTTAGGATAAGTCTCCAGGAAATGCATGTAAGTGTTACGGTGTGCAGGAAGCAGGACCCAAAATGCAGATTTAAGTGACAAAATAATTCCTTTATTTCAAGGCTACAATTTGCAGAGACAGAACAGAACACTCACCGCAGTTTACTCACAACACAAGACAACCCGACAAAGAGAGACAGAAAACCCAGAACTTAAATACACCCAGGACTAATCACATAAACACGAGACAGGTGAGGAGGGAGGAGAAAACACAGAGGCACCAGGTGAACACAATCGGGTAATCAGGGAGGGAAACAGACAGAAAGCAAACGGGCAGGAAACGGGGGTGAACAATTTACAAAATAAAACAGGAAACCCAAAGATAGAAAAAGACAAGAAAACACCAACACAGACAGATCCTAACAGTAAGTCAATGTAATGTCCCCTGAAGTGATGTGTGTGTGTGTGTGTGTGTGTGTGTGTGTGTGTGTGTGTGTGTGTGTGTGTGTGTGTGTGTGTGTGTGTGTGTGTGTGTGTGTGTGTGTGTGTGTGTGTGTGTGTGGTGTGTGTGTGTGTGTGTGTGTGTGTGTGTGTGTGGTGTGTGTGTGTGTGTGTGTGTGTGTGTGTGTGTGTGTGTGTGTGTGTGTGTGTGTGTGTGTGTGTGTGTGTGTGTGACAAAGACAGTAAAACGTAATCCTTGATATGGATTTTGGATGTTTGAGTGGATTACAAAAAACATAATTGAGTCTCACTTTATTATTATTTATGTTAATTATTATAACGTGTTAATCGTATTATTTTGTATTACTCTGTATATTATATAACCATTTATTATATTAAATGATCTTATAAAGTTGTTGTTAATGTGTTTACTAACAGGCCAAAGTTTCTCTCCTCAGAGGACTAAGGAGAAACCGAGCTGTTGACCACCTCGGACCAATTACTGAGATAATCACCTGAGCTACTCAGCAGCTCAGGTGAGTGTGTGTTGTGTTTGTGACAACAGAGCCCCCCCCCCCCCGAGACTCACTGTGACCACTGGGTCATAATTAGCTGTACACTGGCTGTAGTCCGGAGAGGGGGGGGAGCTTCTGTGGACACGGCTGTGATCTGAACACATTGCATCATATTACTGAGAGGCAAACACACACACACACACACACACACACACACACACACACACACACACACACACACACACACACACACACACACACACACACACACACACACACACACACACACACGCACACATACCCTAGTAGATACACATCAACACTTTCCAGTCTAGAGACGCAACTAAAACTAGACTTTTTTGTATTTGCCAAACGTTTATGTGTAAGACAGAAAATATTTTGCTGATTAATGATTTTGGGGGCCCCTAAAGACCCTCATTACATCAGCTTCTGTGGACACTGCTGTCTTCTGAAAACAATGCATCATCTTACTTAGGTGCAAACACACACACTCAGACACACACACACAGTTACATCACTTTAGGTCATTTCTGATAACAATGTCACCACATCTTGACCTCTTTGACCTTAGAGTGTAAAAGTTAAGGCTCTTTATTACTCATTTTGATGATGTATCAACTCATTTGGTCGGTTTCTCGTCATTAACTCACACACATTTTATCGTGGGAAGGTCAACTTTAAGTTTTAGGGATGTTTGAGAAGATGACACTTGGAAATGCTGTGCAGTGTTACAGACTAACTTAAATAAAAAACTGCTCCCACGGTGATCATCTCTACCAAACAGAAAGTGGACCCTTTTAAAGCTCAGAGCTTTTCCTTTCTGACGAAGCTCTTATTTGAATTAAACTACCATACAAGAGGCATATAGAAAACTTTGCCTCGTGTTCTTCATGTCTTTGGAACACCTTCCGGTCTCTTTAAGGGCCACAAATACATATTTTCTCTATGTTTACCAAAAGCTCAGGAACATTCAAGAAGATATTCTGCAGATTCATTGACAATTTGTAATCGAGGGGGCCCTAAATAACACACATTGCAAGGTTATTAACCAGTTTAGCCCCCAGCCTGTTTTTTCAGGTCTCAGGCTCGAAAATGACATTCCCAGAATAAATGACTATAACTTCACTTCTAAAAGGGGTACATTAATAATCTTTTTTCTCAAAGCAATGATAAACTTGTGAGTTGGATGTAGAAAAGTCAGAATCAATATAGATTTTTTTTTTAATTTTAAAGTAAATTCAGATTGAACATAGTAAAAAAATGTCAATTATATTTTCCGTCCAAAAAGAACCCATTACTTATAGTGAAAACCACCCTTGAATGATGGGTTAGTAGACTAAAAGCTTTAGGAATCCAAACTGCAGGGCCGGTCCTAGACATTTTGGTGCCCTAGGCGAGATTATGATTTGGTGCCCCCCCCCCCATATAGAATATATAAAGAATAAATGAAAAATCTCTACAAAAGATCAATACACTACAACAACTGAAACTTATTGACATTGGTTGGTTATATACATAAAGAAGGTTTAAAATGTATTCATTATTGTATGAACATGTTTTATTTGGGGGCTGGACGTCGCATCCTCTAAGGCAGGGGTATTCAACTAAAATTCAACGAGGTCCAGTTAGAGAAAATCTCCACATGCAAAGGTCCGGAACATCAAAATGTCTAAGTTGCTTTATGAATTAGTGTGATATATATTGAAGTAGCCTGTAGCTTTATCAACATGCATTTAAAACAATGCATTTAAAAATAAAATAGGAGAAAATAAATAAAATAGCTTTTTAAAATATGTGCATCTTTAAAGTGCTTAATTTTAGATAAATAAAATAAAGTGTAGCAGCAGCTTGAGTTTCCCTTTTTCTTTGTTAACCGTTTCAAATCATGACTTAACAGTTTCAGACGATTATAGAACAATATCAGTCTTTACACATCATAACAATTGAACAGTTTTAAAGTTTCTCTTTCTTTCCCTCTTATATTGCAGTCCCTCACTCACTTGTTTTAAATTCAGTGCGAGAATTGAGCTGGAGCTTGTCCTACCAGGAGTTTAAATCTGGGCTGAAATGGTGTCAGGGCCATTCTCATACACACATGCAGGTGCTCATTGGTTAGCCTCGGTTAGCCTGCCCTGGAACGATATTTAGTTTTGATCCTGGTGGACTGATCATATTGGGCTCTGAGACTGCTTATTTTTTGTGACCTCAGTTCTGACTTGAGAGGGAATGTTTGGTCAAACACTTTGTGTTTTGTCTCATAATGGCGATTTGGCACTTTTAATGAGCGCCACGGTCTCTGAACAAATGAGACACACTGGTTCATGTGCTCCCAGTGGGCAGGATGAACATGAATGAGTCCGTCCACTCAGGGTTAAAAGCTCTGTTCTCACTGTCCACTTTCCCCTTCTTGGAGAGCACCATGTGTAATTATTTGTCTCTCCCTGTCTGCCGCTAACACGCCTGTTCACTCTCCTCTCCGCTTCTCTCCCTGTATCGCTAATTATTCTCTTCACTCACTTTCCTCTCCGCTTCTCTCTGCCGCTTTCTCATCTCTTCTTCTGTGTTTCTCTCCCTGTATCGCTCACTCTTCTCTTTCGCCCCCTGTCGGCAGCGGTTAAAATAGAATCACCCCGTCAAAATTGAAATCCCCTGTATTGATTATAGGTCTGTGTCCGTATATGTCGGCGTCTGGGTCCGGATCCGGACCGCGGTCCGCCTGTTGCCGACCCCTGCTCTAGGGGAGTCCGGGGGTATGCCCCCCCGGAAAGATATGTTTTAACATTTTAAAGTAAAATGCTTCAATCTGGTGCACTTTGAGCAGAATTACTAGAGACTAGAATAGATCTAGGGCAGGGGTCTCCAACACGTCGATCGCGAGCTACCGGTAGCTCGCAAGCCCTCAATAAGTAGCTCGCCAAGCAAATCCAAAATGTAAAAAATACACCAAAAATAAAGGAAATGTAATTAAAAGAATCTACCCTATGCATAAACGAAACCTCAATCATAGCGAACTCTATCTACTTACTACAACTCTATATCTATCTAACACCCCTCCTCCCCCCACAATGAATATCGACCAATCACGTTCTTGCTTGATTTGCGGGACCAGCGTTGCAGTCGGGAAGAAAAGCAATGTGGAGCGGCACCTCACCGCTTCATAAGGAGTTTAACCTTTTCTTCTGGCAGAATCTACACAACACATCAGCCCCATTGATCACAGCATGCCAGCCTATACTGTAAAACACATGAGGGGCAGAGTTTTACTGTGTGTGTGTCGTTGCAACTTGCATATGTATTGCACTTGACGCACACACACATGTCGTAATTTCCACTGGGGACAGTCCCCCCAACTTTTCGAAATCCTGTTTGTGTCCCCCCACTTTACAAATATGTTTATTATTATTTTTTAATAATACACACAGCTTCTGTGAGCGAGAGAGCGAGAGAGAGCGAGCGAGCGAGAGAGAGCGAGAGCGCGAGAGAGAGCGAGAGAGAGCGAGAGAGAGCGAGAGAGAGCGAGAGAGAGCGAGAGAGAGCGAGAGAGAGCGAGAGAGAGCGAGAGAGCGAGAGAGAGCGAGAGAGAGAGAACCTTTATCTATTTAATATAGTTGTAACAAATAAAGTAAGAAATCATTCCAATGTGTACTATATTGTATTTAAAAGGGGAGTGATTAGTAAAATATGCATAAATAGAAAGAAAAAATGCTAACTAGGTAACATAACATAAGAATACACAAGTTTAAATTGGTTGTGATCATATTCTAAAGATGTTTGCATTATTGAAAAGTATACAGCTCCCTTTCATCTGATTGTTGAGAGCTGTATCCATAAATCCACTTTGTGCTCAAAGTGCACCAGATTGATGGATTTAACTTCAACAATTTAAAAAAAAAAAATCTTCCCGGGGGTGCATACCCCCGGACCCCCCTAGAGTATGTGAGGTCCACCCCAAATAAAGCAGGTTCAAATAATTAAATTGCATTCATTTTCTTTTAGTACACACTGAAAACGGGTCCCACAGACCCAAACAGCACACAAAGGTTAAAGGTACGCATAGAATAATGTTAAAATGTGCTAAATATATACACTGCAAAAAACAAAAAAAAGAGGAGTAAAAGTAGCTCATGACTTGTTTTATTTTTTGAAAGTAGCTCTCATCCTAAAAAAGGTTGGAGACCCCTGATCTAGGGGGTACAACTTTAAACACCCATATGAAAAAGATTGGTTTACATTTGAATAACCAAATAGCCTAAGACTTACTGTAAGTATGTGAACATAACCAATAACCTACCATAGCCAATAATAAATAAATGTAACGTATTTTATTTTTCTTGTTCATTTATATCTTATTTTACCTAGTTAACATTTATTTATTCATGCATTGTTTTTAATATCTCCAGTTTTAAACGATATGTTTGGTTTACTGTCCTATAGTATGCATTGGAATGATTTAAAACCTGTTTTTATTTATCCTAATAATTATAAAGGTGTGCCTTGGAAATATTTGTTTACATAAATTGTGACCAAACCGTTTGAGACCCACTGAGACAACTTAGACTAAAGTGAACTATATCTAAACACTCAAGAGTCCTTTACCTCACTGAGCTGTAGTTATCAGCCTCAATCCAACAACAATCTGTGATACCGATGAGCGCCCTCTCTCTCTCTCTTGCTCGCTCGCACTTTGGCTGTGAGCTGCGGGCGCCAGATAAGCCAACATCCCCCATTTTCATCCCTTACATCGCCAATCGTATAATATATAATGATATTAAAAGTGTAACCGGGGTGAAAAGGGTGTTACATTTACTTAATTATGAATGTAGTTACATCAAGGCTGAAAATTAGGATGTACCAAACAGTCAAAAAAAATGTTTTCCCTCCCAGAACTATCCCCCCAGATCTGGCACCCTAGGCGACCTCCTATGTCGCCTATGCCAAAGACCGGCCCTGCCAAACTATAACATATAATAAGTACCCTGTATCAAGATTGATGCCACCAAAAAACCGAGAGAAGAAGACGAAGCCGACTCCGAGCTGTCCCACTTCAGGCGAGCTTTTTGAGACCTCCCCCGGCTGCGATCGGCTATTCTCGTCTACTTTCGAGCCTCAACGCGTCTCAAACAAGCCTACTCGCTCTCAAGGCTGCGGGCGTCTTTGTCCCGCGAGATTTCAACGTCTCATGTAGGCGAGCCTCCAGAACAAGTCGGACAAAATTACTAACCATCATGCAACGCACTAGCAAGACGTTGATCGCAACTGCGCAGGTCTCGCTTGTCTCAAACAAGCCTTCTGACTTCACTAGGCTTGTTTGAGACGCGTTGCGGCTCGCCTCGAATGTAGACGAGAGTAGCCGATCGCAGCCGGGGGAGGTCTCAAAAAGCTCGCCTGAAGTCGGACAGCTCGGAGTCGGCTTCGTCTTCTTCTTCTTCTTCTTCTCTCGGTTTTTTGGCGGATTGCAAACAGCTTGAAGGTGCATACCGCCACCTCCGGAGTCGGCTTGACTCGGTTTGCATTTATAAAGAATGCACACATGTGTTTAATCGTTAATGTAAAATATGTACTAAGTAAATACATTTGTTCCTGCTCAAGATTAGATTCAACTTTATTGTTATTACACATATTACAGGTACTGAGACAACGAAATGCAGTTTAGCTTCTAGCCAGGTGCAACAAGCAGTAAAGTGAAAAGTAATGTACACAATCTACAGAATAAAATATAGAATGAATTGAATGATGAATAAACAGTGAGGGGTATGAATACACTAGATATACAGCAGCCTGTGAGCAGTATGAACAGTGTGTATGAATATGCTAAGATATATAAAGTATGAAAACGGTAAGCAGTGCAAGTATAGTATAAAATATATAGATATTAATTTCATGATGATAAATATTGTGGAACAATGATGAAAAATGGGAATGGAAGTGGCGACGTAAAACTGACACAAAACAACAACAAACTTTTGCCGAGCCAATTGGAGAGCTTCATCAGCAGCACGTGGTAAAAACCACCAATGAGCGCTCAGCTCGATTTTATGGTTTTCAAGTTGTATTATATACTGTAATAGACAATAACATAATCAAATAATACAATATAATATAATTATACAATATTATATAGTATAATCATGTATAAATGAAAATGATTTAATAAATGGTAATACGATAACACTTCCATTATGATTACTTAAGTAAAATATGTATTAACTTGTTATTGTTGCACACATTAAAACATTTGATATACTATATTTATTATGTTTTAATAACTACTGAATGATTTGGAAACCTTTAGAACATGTTGTAAAACATCTTAACACTAAGAATCAGAGGATGAAACCCTCTCTATTTGTCACACACATGTTCACGCACACAGCACAGCACACAGTGAAAATGGACCTATGCATGTAACCCATCCTAATACCGGGGAGCAATGGGGTGTCAGGTGCCTTGCTCAAGGGCACCAGGGACAGTGCCACTGAACCTCTCCAAGTACCAGTCCACACTCCATATTTAGGTCGGTTTGGGGACTTGAACCGGCAACCCTACGG